TTTTTAAAATTTCCGACGGATTTCCGACGGAATTTAATTTTTAAAAAAAAAAAATTAAATTCCGTCGGAAATCCGTCGGAAATTTTAAAAAATGTTTTTTTATATTTCTTTTTCTCAACTTTAATTTAAAAAGAAAAAAAAATTTAAAAAACATTTTTTTAACATTTCCGACGGAATTTAATTTTTTTTAAATAAAAATTAAATTCCGTCGGAAATCCGTCGGAAATTTTAAAAAATGTTTTTTTATATTTCTTTTTCTAAACTTTAATTTAAAAAGAAAAAAATATAAAAAAAACATTTTTTAAAATTTCCGACGGATTTCCGACGGAATTTAATTTTTATTTATCCGTCGGAAATTTTAAAAAATGTTTTTTTATATTTCTTTTTCTCAACTTTAATTTAAAAAGAAAAAAATTTTAAAAAAACATTTTTTAAMATTTCCGACGGAATTTAATTTTTTTTAAATAAAAATTAAATTCCGTCGGAAATCCGTCGGAAATTTTAAAAAATGTTTTTTTATAATTCTTTAATTTAAAAAGAAAAAAATTTTAAAAAAACATTTTTTATATTTCTTTTTCTAAACTTTAATTTAAAAAGAAAAAAAATAAAAAAAAAACATTTTTTAAAATTTTTTTCCTCAACTTTAATTTAAAAAGAAAAAAAATAAAAAAAACATTTTTTAAAATTTCCGACGGAATTTAATTTTTATTTAAAAAAAATTAAATTCCGTCGGAAATCCGTCGGAAATTTTAAAAAATGTTTTTTTTTTATTTTTTTTTCTCAACTTTAATTTAAAAAGAAATATAAAAAAAATCATTTTTTATAATTTCCGACGGATTTCCGACGGAATTAAAATTTTTTTTAAAAAAAAATAAATTCCGTCGGAAATCCGTCGGAAATTTAAAAAAAAAATGTTTTTTTAATTGTTTTTCCTTAACTTTAATTTAAAAAGAAATATAAAAAAAAACTTTTTTAAATTTCCGACGGATTTCCGACGGAATTTAATTTAAAAAAAAAAAATTAAATTCCGTCGGAAATTGTTTTTAATTAACACTAATTAATTGATTTAAATAAATTAGACAAATTTTGCGACGGATTTCCGACGGATCTGTGACGGTTTAGAATAAGTAAAAAAATCCGTCAGAAATCCGTCACAAATCCGTTGAAAAACCGTTTTAAATAATTCTAATTTTTTTTTCCGAAAAATTCAGTGGGGGATTTGTGGGGGATCTGTGGCGGATATGGATAAAAGTTGACTTTTTTTGACTTTTTGGGTATCCGTCGGAAATCCGTCGGAAATATTACCGACGGAATTTCCGCCAGAAAAATCCGTCGGTTATACCCTTTTTTTTAGTAGTGAATGATGTATCTAACATGCTTTAGAAAGTTCAAGGAGTTATTTCACATGTTTTGAAATGTCAAATGATTTATTTGTTCCAAAAAATTGTTCAATAACTTAATTATTCTAAACACTAAAGTCCATTGGGTTTCTTAGACTTTTTCCTATATTTATTGCATTATTTTATATTATTTTGCATTTTCGATGTTTAGTAATGAAAAAAATCATCCTCAAACACTTCTGAATCACCAAGATATCAACACGATATCTTGGTAAACGTTTTCGTGATTTCATTTTCTAATCCACAAGACTGGATCTTTAAGATTACAAGTTGTAAGGACATAAGATGGAACCGGCAGTGATATCGGCCTATATAAAAACAATTTTTTTAGTTTTGGAGTGTAAAACATCAATTTTTTCAACAAAAAAAATAATGAATCTATGAATTGATGTACCAAGTAAATTAGCATATCACTGTGATCGAGAATGTTGGCGTCGGTGGTGAAATAATTTTCTCCTGAGGAGGGGCAATTCACGTGATCAAGGGTGGACCTATTTATGAGGTAGGCGTGCACGTCTCCCTTCTTTATCGTCTATACCACGGTAGGAAAAAGATTAGAGGTTTGAAAGGTGCATCTGCTTTAAATTGAAGTGTGTTACCTTAAATTAACATAAAATGGATACAACTTATAAATAGTGTCATTATGTGTGGTATTATAGATCATAGTTCAAATTCTCTTGGCTCTCTGTTGATTTTTTCAGTAACAACATAAAAAAAACCCCACTTGGATAGCTGCAAAAAACCAACTATACATCCTTTTTAATCAAACTGTAGTTTTTACTTTATATTATGTCATTTATTTTATACCCTGCTTCAGAAAGATCGGGTCCGCTCCCTGGACACGATAATGATAAGTGGTCATTGTCGTGGCACGGACCGCATGGACTGGGGGAGGCTTAAGAATCCACTGAGCTTTTGGCATAGTCCCCCCCCCCCCCACCCAGGAGGCTTCAAAGCCAGATCTTCGTCTCCTATCTTTAGAGATAAAGAAGGGTGTAAATTTTTTGTACGTCGTATGCCTATACCAAATCAATGTTATCCAAGTCTATCGTCACATGTAGTTGAACTATATAAGGTTGAGTTAGGTTTTAACAACATTATAGCATCCAACAGAATCTTGCCCCTCAAATCGAGACTAGGGCTCACAACATAAACAACAAATCTCTTCATTACTTGACTTTTACTGTTCATACTTTTAGCTTGTAACAGATAAATACGATTGATATGACCATACTTATATTTGTCTCTCATAAATAAAAACTAGAAACTAAAACTCAGATAACATGCACGATTATCGATTATAAACATCACATTTTGCTTATTCCTTTTCCCGTCACTTTCATTTGTCTAGAATCTAAAAATCGACATTGTATAAGCCTCTTTTCGATCATTTGACCATCTTCAAAGGCCTCATCATCGCATTATCTTCATGATCCAATATCTGATATCAACAAAAATACAGTTCCAAAATTTTATACGGTTCTCAAATAAATATGTTTCATGTCGTACTCATAAAAAAAATGAATTGAAAAAATATCGAAATGGAAAACTCACATGACAATGGTAGACGTAGCCGGGCTCTGCAGTTGCATCAAAGGGATATGATGCGTTTGTATGTATGTAAGCGAACTTCACGAGGATCTTCGTGATGTATCCGGGATTCATCTTATACACATTCTTCCACCCTTTCTCGTATGGCACCACACTCAATTTTCTCCCACGTGCGTATTTTTCGATATGACATTTTTTAGCATTGTTAATTTTCGTCATACATTCTTTAAACTCTTCTATGTTTGTTATGTTCGTTTGATCCAGCACTCTAAAGAGTCCCAGATGGATATGCAACGGGTGATTATCCTCCGTTAGATTGATCACATTCCAGATCTCTGTGCTTCCCACCTTCGGTTGCTCGGTTACTGGATCTTCGTACGACAATGCGTTTATATACAAATGAGTCGGCTCGTCAGTTGCACTTGTGTACTCATACATGGCAATATAACGTGTTTTTGTCACTTCTGACAAACTTGGCATCGGATATTCTATTAGTTTCTTAGGGACTCGAGATGAGTCGACCTCACGGTGGTGGTTGATGATGAATTTCATGACTTTACCGTTATTCTCGTCGGCCGGGTCTCCACCGGGGTAAGGGTAAGCTGCACCGTTGTGTAAAATAGCCGAATTTGCTTTTGACTTTGAAAAGTCAACAACCACGTCAGCTATCTCAGATGGGCCCAAAAGTACCTCCTTGGTCAATACTGATTGGTCATTATAAACTGAGTCAGACGCCACGTGGATGAATCTGAGACCGTTGCCAAAAAAGAACTTGAAAAACCTAGCATTGCTAGCGTTGATTATACGGAACCGGTACTTTCTCCGGCGGACGGTCATGTACGGCCACGCTTTGCCATTAACAACAATGGCGTCACCAAAATACTCCGGTTGCCACTGCGGATGGATCTCGGGGTTGTTTCCGGTGGAATTCATGTAGATCGATCCATCTGTCCGGAAGCTCCGATCGAATACGATCAACGGACGATCAAATTCGTCGCCGGAGGGGAGTCCGAGCGGGGACTCAACTTCGGGATGACGTATGATATAGGCGCCAAAGAGACCTGCAAGAAGGTTGACTCTGGTCAATCCCATGGCGTGATCATGATAATATAGGTTGCCTGGCTGTTGCTTGTTGTGGTAGTGATACGTCTTTTTGGTCCAAGTGGGCCCACGTTCTTGAAATCGAGCGGTGAACCATGAGTTTGAGTTTCCATCGCTTTGAGGTTCATCGATCCCGCCGTGGAGGTGCACCACCGTAGGAACGCCCTTATTAGTACGAGGGATAGCCGTTGGGATGGTGGGGTCCCAAGGGAGTATGTGTTTTGAAGGGAGTCGATTTTGCCACCTCACATGAGTGCTGACACCGTGGACGGCCTCGATTGTAGGACCAGGGACTGTTGCGGTGCGCTTCGTTTCACCGAATGCGAATACCTTGGTTGGTGGGAGATCCCTGTGAAATTTCTGTAATAATTGATATTAAAATTAAAATCAAAATCATATATAATTTTCTGTGTCATATCATTTTTTCTTTGACATGAATAGTGCAAATAAAATTACATTTTTTTTAATTTAAAATTCTTTTTTTAGAATTTAATATTTTTCATAAATAATTTAATTTTTTTTATTACAAATGGAAAGAGAATATAAAAAAAATAAAAAAAGCATAAATATTTTAAAGAACATAAATTTTCTTATAAAACAATCCCTTTCAAATCTTAGAAGATAAACAAACATTTTCTTATAACAACTTTACATTAGTTTTTATTTAAATAAATCAATTTCCAAAATCTTCATTTAAGGAAACGAATTTAAGAAATCACCAATAAAAAATCCAGCTTTTAATATCTTTAATTCTAGTAACCAACCGAGCAATAATTTTATTTTCCTTCCATTTTGAAAAAAAAATACTAAATAAGAAATAATTATTAATTATAAATTAAAAATTATATATATATATATATATGTATGTATGTATACATATGTTGTATTTGGAAACGATTTTTTCATATACCGTCTACCAACTAGTTATAATTGTTACGCATAATTTTATACGATATATCAACCAACTTTATACTTGGTACTAACTTTTTTCGGTTGGTACATTTTTTATACCAACGTTGCAAAAGTTGAAGTTATAAATTTATTATAATTGACACAATTACCATCTAGATTTAGATGTACAAAACTATTGAGCCTTCAAGTAACATGTTAATATGTGTTATACCAGCACTCAAATAATCTTCATATAATACAAGTATTCACAAATAATCTGATACAAACAAGCATTAAGAATAGTTGATATAGTTACTGTGGTATACAATTTTTAATACGATATATATCAAACAAGTTTAAATAGTTGATATAATACTACCAATCAATTTAATTAATACGAATAGGAAATTGGCCACTGATTTGTCAGAGTCTTGTTATAATTCCGAGAGGTTGTGACAAGAAAGGTTGAAAAGGACAAATGTGGGGTTGAGGAGAAACCGAAACTTGTCTTGGTCTTGCAGACGGATATATGAGTTGGATGTCACCACCCAAAAAGTCACAATTCCCAATTAAATTAAATTAAATTACTTTTATTATAAAATTCTAAATATATATAAAAAAATATTAATAAAAAGGTCATATACGTTTCTTAAAACAACTTTTAAGTCAAAAATAGGATTCGTCTTAACATGGAAAGCAGTCTTTACTACCATAATTGTGTTTTACAAAGGAAAAGAAACAAAATATCACAAAAAAATTAAAATTTAATATATATATTTGTAAAAATGACATCTTTCCTTTTTTCTAGTATTTATCATTCAAAAACATAAAAATTGTTTCTTTTTTCGTTCCATCTTTTCTTCATTTTCAAACAAATTTTCCATTTTTTCGTTCCAAATTCAAAAACATAGTTACGGGCCACATTCAAAGAATTTTGTGAACGGAATTATTAGATTACGATTCAAAGAGTCTGACTATTCAAAAATATTTTCTTTATCGGAAAATATCATTTAAAATGATGAATTAGAACGCTCACCTGTGTTGTGAATACGAAATTTTTGGAGTATCTGCGTCAACTTTTTCAAAATGGAGAAAAATAAGGATTTTGGAGGGTTCGTTTTTTCTCAAGATTAGAAAACTTGAGGGATAATGCAATTTTCTTCAAAATTAAAGATTTCTTTAAAAACTTGACTCTTTTACCCCCAATTTAAATATCTCCAACCAATGAATGAGAGTTAATAAGGCAAATGATTTTTTTTATTAACCTGGATATCCAACCTGTTTTACGAGCCGACTAATCTTAAGGCAACCATTTGTTTTGTAGGTAGTTCGGAGTCATCGTATTTGAACATTTATGATCACAAATGAATTTTTGTTCCTCCTTGGAATAAGGCAGATAATGAAAGAATGGAGTGAAGAGAAGAAAAGTGAGAAATAGAGGACATACCCAATACTTTGGAAACATGGTGATTTTGAGGGAACTGGAAACAGGAACACCATCAAGAAGATGATAGCCTTTGATTTTGGGCATATCTGGTATTTCATCAACAAACATTTCCAACTCAGATGGAGATAGCAGACCTCCTCCATCCCCCAAAACAATCACAAACAGACCCACCAAATGAACCACAACAAGATTGTAACTCATTTTTTTAAATTCCAATTCTATCCTTCATGAACATCAACACACACCAACTGTGTGTCAGAATTAGGAACAGCTATATATATATATATATATATATATGTATAGAGAGAGAGAGAGAGAGAGAGAGAGAGAGAGAGAGGGATATGGAGATGGAGATCGGGATTGAGGTTTGTATGGGAGGTTAGTGTAATAAGAAGGGAATTAGATTCATTTATATTGGGTGAGTGTGATAATGATTGGGTGGTGTATGTAGTGTGTGAACTGAACATGATTCTTTAATCTTTTATATATATATCTTTATATATACGTATACGTATATGTATATGTATACGTATATGTATATGTATACGTATATGTATATGTATCTGTATATGTATACGTATATGTATATGTATACGTATATATATATATATATATAGATGAGCGATCAAATGAAAACCACTTAAATTTGTAAAAACCATAAAAACTACTCTCATCTGTCGTTAATCTTATGAAATTTTTTCATGAAATTGTTAATCTTGTGAAATTGTTTCATATAATACTTTTTTTGATGAAGTTGTTTCATATATGGTTATGAAATTGTTTCATATACTACTTAATGAAATTTTAATGAAACTTTTTCATGTATTTCTCTAAAATTAAAATAATTAAGACGATAATATCAAATATTAACATCCTCCACAATAAAAATTATTAATCAACCTCTCATAATTACAAAAAAATGAACAAAATGAAAAATTATGATTGATGGAATGAGGTTTTTACGGTTTTTACAAATTGAGTGGTTTTCATTTGATCGTTCCCCTATGTATGTATGTATATACTATATTATAAAGTATTTGATAAAAACTTTTAAAAACCGTTTTTTATGCATCAAATACTGTTTATTAATGTATATTACTTAAAAGTCAAGATTACAAGTAAATTGTGTGCAAATACAACTTATTAAAACTCCATGTTTGAATTCGTGTAACTAACTACGGATAAACATAATCAAATAGAGAATAAATATCTTATTTTAAAATATAAAAAAATTAAAATATAATTAGGATAATTATTTAGTTCTAACAAAATAATTAATTATTATATTTATAAAAAAATGCATTATTAAACCAAATATATATATTAATTCGTTTTTAGATTTCAATTAAATTTGAATCAAATAAATTACATAAAAACGAAAACTTTTAAATAGTTAATTTAATATTAATATCACTTATTTTTTTAAAATTTTATGATATCTTTAAATTTATATTTCATTAAAAAATAAAAACATTTTCTTTTTCTTAGAACCACATAGAATCATAATATTGATAGACCCAAAATATAAAATGAAAATTAAAACTCAAAATGTACATTGCTGCATTGTACGAGTATCATTCTATAATATATATATATATATATATAGAGAGAGAGAGAGAGAGAGAGAGAGAGAGAGACTCATTCAAGGGAGAATTGATTAGTTTGTGTTAACTAGTGAGATCTAATGTGAACCACTCGTTTAAGATATTTAAGGATATTTCTTAAATAAGCAAAAAAAGATAATATAGTAATTCTATTTTTGATAACTAATCAAAATAATTAATTAAATTTTTTAGAAGGAAATATTTAATTAAAATTAGTTACCTAGTATATCGATTACCTAATATACATCGTATTTTAAAGACGTTTTTGAATCAAATTGTATCATAGTGATAACATTCACAATGTTTCACGTGTATCACAAGGTATTTTCTTTGTTTTATGAAATGTATCATAGTGTGCATTTTCGTTTTTTTCATTGTTTTACAAAGGGTATCACATCGTACATCTTGTACGTATATCTGGGTATCACCAATGAATATCGTTTGTAGGTATCATGGTGTGTATCTTTTATTCACATAAGGTTCATCGGAATAAGATTCACCGAATAAGATTCGTTGGAGAATGGAAAGAGGAGAGATGAGAGGATATTTATAAAATCTTTAAAATGTCCTTAATTAATATTTTAAGTTAAAATTAGCAAAATTATTAATTTATTAATTTAACCTTTGATTTGTGGTCGAGATTGGATCTCACGGTTATCACAAACAAAACAGTTCTCATTTGATTAGGCCTATATACACACACACACACTAGAAGGATACTCGTACAATGTAGTGAGATACATCTTGATTTTAGTGTTTCATTTTTTGTCTCAGTCGATGTTATAATACAACTTTATGTGGTTTTGAGAAAACGACAATATTTTTATTTTTGAATAAAATATAAATATGAAAATATCATACTTTTTTTTAAAAAAATATTGATATTAGTACCCAACTAACTATTAATTTTTTTTTTGTATTTCTTTAATTCATTTTTTTATTATTGGTTTAATAATATATATGCCATGGTTGAAGCTTTAGGCTCCATAAACGGAGTTGGCCTAGTCTCTCGCCCAGCCTTCGCCTTCTTCAGTGGCCAAGTTGAAGTGTTCAACGGTTATTCGAAGATAATAATTAAATATTTTGTTAGAACTCAATGATTATTGTAATTATATTTTAAATTTATTATATTTAAAATGAGATGTTTATCCTCTATTTGTTTATGTTTATGTACAATTAGTTATACGAATTCAAACATGAAGCTTTAACAAGTTATACTTACGCACAAATTACTTGTAATCTTGAATTTTAAGTAATATGCATCAATAAACAACACTTCATGCATAAAAAATGGTTTTTAAGAATTTTTATCAAATGTTTTATAATATAGATACATGTTAATCAATAAATTAAATATTATACTTAAGTGTTTCAGTAGAGCAATTAATGCATTTATCAAAATTAGAAGGGTACTCGTGCAATATATCGATATATATATATCGATTTCAATGTCTCATGTTATTATTTAGAACTGTCGATATAATAAGATTTTATGTGGTTTTGAAAAAACGATAATGTTCTTGTTTTTGAATAAAATATAAATTTTAGAATATCATAAAATTTTGAAAAATATATATGAATATTCGTATTAAATTAACTATTTAAAAGTTCTTGTTTTATGTAATTTTTTTAATTCTTTTATTATAATTTAATTTAAAGTAATTTAATTCAGGTTTAATAATATAATTCTTTATAAAGATAATAATTACGTATTATGTTAGAACTCAATAATTATCTTAATTATATTTTAAGTTTTTTTATATTTAGAATGAGATTTTATTTTGTATTTGATTATATTTATCTGCAGTTAGTTACACGAATTCAAACAAGGAACTTTAGTAAGTTGTACTTACGTATAATTTACTTGTAACCTTGACTTATAAGTAATATGCATCAATAAACAGTACTTCATGCATAAAAAAATAATTTTTAAGAGTTTTTGTCAAATGTTTTATAATATAGTATATATATATATATATATATATATATATATAAAGAAGGATTAAATAAAAAAGATAAAAATGTTAAAGAAGTTAAAAGTCAGTCATTCATATGTAAATTGTATTAGAAAAAATCATTTTAAATATACATACGTGAATTTATGTTTTTTAGGAATAATTCCATATAAATTACACTGTTTGACATTCAAGTAAATTACCCTGTTTAACATTCATATTGTGATATTTTTTTCATCAACTTTCTACATGGTATTTTACAATTTGCTCATTATGCGGTTTCGTATAAAGCTTCACATGCATCTTTCACATGTAAAGATGTGCAATTTCATATGAAGCTTCACATGTGAAGATGTACAATTTCATATGAAGCTTCACATGTGAATTTTATGGACCAAAACAAGAAACCAGTCATAGATAATGGACCAACAATATAATTCATTCTATATAAAGGAACGAGCATGTAGGTCCTTTTCAATTGTGACTATATTAAGATATTTTATTTTCAATTTTTTTAACAGTCTTTCAAATTTTTACAAATGACTTTTTACATGTGAATATGTTGTGTTCAAATATGAATATTAGTGGACGATTTGGAAAGATGAGTGCTTAGTCTCTATCATCTACGAATCTTGTGGTGGTACAACGTAATTATATGTGAAACTTTTCATATTTTGTGTGTGATATCAAATTACTCAAAATAAAATTATTGCATAAAATCAAAGAAGTATAAAAGTTTAATAAGACAAAACACTCAAAATCATGTCTGGGATAAAAAGCGGCCATCATGTTCACAAAAGAGTCTTCCCGTCGCTATTTCTAACCTCATCTTGATTTTTTTAAGATGTAAAGACGAATTATAATGGTATGGATAAATACAGTTGAACGTAGTTCAAAGCTGAACTCACATTTAAAGTATTTATGTCCACATAATTTTTCATGAACACGTAGATTCATAAAAAAGCAAAAAAATTGTAATTCGTTAGGTATAGAATAATTATATACTTCTTGAGGGACAACAACAAATAAATAGAGTTGAGCGGGATTCATTTTAACCTGTCGAGTTGAGTAATCTTATATTCTTAACGTTATTATACATTGACCCTACAATTTTTATCGTTGACCCACCATGTGCTCTTCCATGACTCTTACTACTTTGTTAACATCGTGTTGTCGATGGTCTCTGTTGAACGGGTCAGATGGAAAGAAGGTAGAGTAACCACAACAAGGTCTCGTCTTTAACTCCAGCTCTTCCCACCCTGTCTTACCTCCACGTGATGGTCGTAAGACTGGTAAGATGGGGTGATCTGGAAAACGACAGAAACCCTTTTTTCACACTGTGTTCCGTAGTCCATTTAGTGTAAAATTATTTCCAGAAGGACAATTTTAAGGTAATTCATTTTCCAGGATTGAACTAAAAACCTTTTCATGAAAGCATATTGATTTACGTACAAGATACAACAAAATCTTTATTTAGACATCACATATGATTTACGTTATGTAAGTAAAGCTAAAAATATGTTTGGAGTTAAATATTGTTATAACCATGAAACTTGTACTTTACGGTATTGTTTCACATGTTTTTTTTTCCATCTACTGATATAATTTAAGGTATTGGTTAACATATATTTGTTTCACAAAGTGTTTGTCTTACATGTACTTGTTTCATAACGTGAAACTTTTTTACATGTTTGTGTT